ATTTTCGTAATTGGGGGGGGGCGGTGACTAGTAATAGGGGGGCGGTAAATAGCAATTCAGATCCAAGTTTGTTTTATCTTAAGTTTACTTTTGAAAGGCCATAAATTATATTCCACAACTAAATCATGAATTTTTCTAATTCCACGTATTTTACGTTTTCCTACTCAGCAAACTAAAAATCCAACGTGGATATAAGACGCCGGACATGCTAGCATTTTTTGAATCTTCGACGAAAATTAAGTTCGTTTTGTTAAAGTAAGTCGAAGTCATGATTATATTGCAATTATTCAAAAATTTGAATTAAATTGTCAAACACAAAAATGTAAAAGTTTAAATAGCCATTACTACTTTTTTAAAACATAACATTCGTTTATAAAAGTATACATATTCATTACAAAATTCCGTCTACCTCACCGTTAGACCTGCCTAACAACACCGTTAGACCTGCCTAACAACAGCAGCCTACAAAGCAATATGGCATGCATATTATATTGACACCAATAATAGAGCTAATAAGATTCAGAATTTCAGGATAATTACGAAAACGACACTAAAACGGTAAAACCCATTGGCCAATTAAAAAAAAATACTAAAAATAATTAATAAAAAAAAGAACTGTTAGCTTGAACTACTTTCAGGTTTGAGTTTCACATTCCCTTGGCAATGTGTACCAAAACAGATAACTTACACTGGCTATTTGCATTCCTAAAATGATTGAATGTAATGAAAAAAGACTACATACACACAAATAAAGAAAAAAAAAAACGAAAAAAAAAAGAGAAGAGGGCGAAAATGGTGGTGTTTACCAGAGGCTGATCTTGACAGTGAAATCAACGTCCGATTGATCACCTGCCTGAATTTTCTTCTATCTTGGAGTCTACAGATTCTTGTAAGAATCATTATTTGGTTTTTGCATCCCAACGGTTTTCTTGGACCTCTAAATAGTGTAGTCGGTTTGGAGGAAGCTCTCGTAAGTAGTTCCATTGAGAGCCCTTTTGACGTCGGCCCAATTCTTGATGTGATTTGATAATGAACCTCGGTGTATCTTCACCTGGCGGCTTGTTAACTCCATCACCGGCAACCCTAGAAATTGCTGCACTTCTACCAGTTTCTACGAGATACGGTTAAGGATGAAAAATGAATTAAGGTGTTTTGTTATGGTAAATGATTATAATAAGAACCCAAGGAAATGCCACTTGAAATATACATGCCTCCATATGGGGTTAATTTTCAGAATTTTTCATATATGTACAAAAACTATAATCTAACCATAGAAAAATAACATTTTGTTGGACTATCAGCATTAACAATCATCTCGAAAACACACACACCACACACACACACACACACACACACACTTCGTTTTTTTTTTCTGAACTTTCGATTTCTTCGTGTCTGAATAAAAAGGTCATATTTTTACTACTAATCACACTCTCACAATTCTTCTGCACTTTTTACAAATAGTATTCTCATGTTGTCCCCTCTAATAGGCGGTAAAATAATAATAATAATAATAATAATAATAATAATAATCTATAATCTATATCTATCTATCTATCTATATCTATTCTATATCTATATCTATATCTATAATCTATCTATAATCTATAACTCCCTTAAAAGTGTGAGTTGTTTCTTGAAACTTTTGAATTGCCAAGAATATCCTCATAAAAAGATAAGTGTTAAGGTTATTAATGTAATTTTCTTATTCATGTTAGGAAGTTACAACTTTTAATTATTATATTTTATTTTTTATGCTTAATTATATCTTTAAGTTCTTACACATACAAAACATTACCTACACAAATTTAAATATTTTAAATAATAATTTATTCTTAATTATATTATTTTGAATTAATCTAGATATGATGTTAGGTTTCGATTTGGTTATTATAATGGCAGTTTTAAAATGTAACAGAAAAAATTATTTTAAGATTTCTTAAATAAAATATATGATATTACATAAGTGTGAAATATATGATGCATCACTAAAAGTATCATCTTTAATTTCTAAATATTATATTGTTACCATACAAATTTTTGTTTATAGTATTAAAACAATTAAACAGGAACAATTTAGTGAACATGCATATGTTTAAGAATGATTGAATCAAATATAATTATTCAACATACAAAATGTCAATTTTTATGTAAAAAAGTTATTTGTTAAGTAAAAAAAAAAAAAA